AGTTGCATCAAACCTAGTGTTGGATTCTGGAGGGTTGTCGACGACCTGAGAGGTCAGGTTATGTTTACCGCTCGAAACCGATCGAGCCTTGCGATTGCGGCTTCTAGGCGTTTCCTGTGGGATCCCATCTGGGAGACGGAGAACAGAAGAACCTACTTTCCTTGAGCTTTTCCCTCTTTGACCCGCGTGAGTCATCCACTATCGAATTAACCTTAGTTTGCTTCATTTCGATTTGTGTATCGACAGATCGAGTGCTGTTTGACGTGTTCCGACTGCGCTTGCTAAAACACTTCTTTGCAGCATCAACCAGTGAGACGGCCTCGGTTAACAGGCTGCTTGCATCCGAACACCACCGTTAACAAAGCCATACGCAACCCTTCTTACTGAACCGTTTGAAGGCCGCAGGCGTTAAGTTCGTGCAAACTTCGTGGTGCCAGCTTTTGCACTCGTCGCACTGCATGCCGCTTTCAACGGGATAACGACGACCCGGACGATGGCAACTGCTTTTTTCTACACTGTCCGGTCATTTAAAAGGAGTCCTTTTCAAAAAAAGACGAGATGCGATGATACTCAAAAACAAAAAATAATCAATGACCAGAAAGCGAAGAGCTGTAGATTGTTAGGACCAAAAGTACTAACAGATACAATTGAAAATAAGGTACTCAAGAGTACCAACGAAAAAGTAATTGAGAGAGCGGTAAAAACGGTACTCTAGTCGAACACTTTAAATGAAATGCGTCCAAATAAAGTGAAAACAGTAGTCTTGATACGTCATGAACGATCAAAACAATGAAATCTACTCAGCGAGAAAAAACACCACTGTACTTTTTAAATAGCGCGCGAGTAGATAACTTGTTTAAATATCTAGATGGCAGAAACAGGTAGCCCAGATGCTCAAGCAGGCCGCCCTTTTTAGATTTATCTACAGGAACCCCATGTGGAATGGCCAACTTTCAAATTTACACAGTTGGGTTCCCATCAGCCGAAAAAGAAACTGAATAAGAACTCTCGCCACAAGAATACAAAGAATCTGTAGCCCTAAGGTCGTAGAGGAAGAATTCAGCCTTTTAAAAAAGATACTTGTCAAAAACGGATATCCTTCTATATTCAATGATAAGGACTTGAAGCCGAAAGTGCCAAAACCACAAACAATTACAGTAGAAAAGAACATTTTATACATGAACGTCGACTTCAAAAATGATAGAGCCGCATATATCTTAAAGAGGAGAATTTCGGATTCTTTAAAAAGAACATTCTTTGCAGAAACATTGCGAATATTATTCTCCAGCCGATCAATGTTCACCAATAATCTGAAATATAAATTATCGCATCTGACCAACTCAATGTGCATTTACCAATTTACCTGCTCTTGTGGAGCTAGGTATATAGGTCGTTCGGTGCGTACTATATCCAAAAGAATTCAAGAACATTGTCCGGCGTGGCTAAAAAGAAGAGGCAACAGCTCAATAAGAAGTTCTATAATCGAACACCATGGGAACACAGGTCACTCAATCAAGACAGGCTCTGCGTTCAAAGTCATCTACAAGGCAAGTAGAAGCCCTCCTAAGACAATTAGACTGCATCTTCTTTGCATTGCCGAGGCAATAGCCATACATTTTGAAAAATCAGAATTATGTGTACACAAGAGACTGGTACAACCTCTTCTTTTACCATGGTCTTATTGTAATAAACGATCAAATCAATGAGATTTACTCATCGAGAAAAAATACCACTGTCCTTTTTAAATAATAATAATAGTAATAATTTATTCTGAAATAACAGTTTGTTCGTGACATCCCACTAAACCATATGGAGCCGTAATTAAACAAATTGTTCTGCCCTACAGACATGAGTGGATTGAATTTATCGCGCGCGTCAGATTTGTTTTATATTGATCTTTGGAAACTGGATGACGCTTCAAGTCAGAATAGTTCTTAGAAAACTTGGGAACACGAACGCTATAGCAACTTCATTCTCCCAAATAATGCACGAGACTTTATATTTGATGAAACACTTAAAACCCTGTCTCATATATTTGGAGAACAATCATCTCTATTTAATATCCGTTATCAATGCTTGAAAATAACGAAAGAGCCAGGAGATGACTGGGTGAAGCTTGCAGGAATTGTGAATCGAGAATGTGAGAGGTTCAAATTGTCCTCCATGACTGAAGACCAATTTAAATGCCTAGTGTTTAACTGTAGCCTGCTTTCACCCGAGGATGCTGACATCCGAACGAGAATCCTAAGCAAGCTAGAACACTGTCCCAACATGACGCTGCAGGAAGTAGCTACCGAATGCCAAAGGTTAGTGAATCTGAAGCATGATGCCTCGATGGTAGAGAACGACAACCGTTTCTTTCTCACAAGGTTCCAGCACTCAGAATTATCGTAATGACAGCAAAATGCCATCATCCCCATGCTGGTTATGTGGTGGCTGGCACTTCTAAAGGTTTTGTCCGTTTAAGAATCATCGTTGTACTATGTGTTCCAGAAAAATACAAAGAAAGTCATTGCAAAATTCGAAAACGCCGCCAACCGAAAGAGTATTCTAAGAGATTCAAACCACAAACAGCTGAAGTAACGGTAGCTCTTCACAAAGCTGGCTCCCATAACCGCAGAAAGTATGTTTCTCGCAAGATTAATGGGTATGATGCCCGCTTACAGTTAGATACGTCCTCTGATATAACGCTTATAAGCAGGAGAACGTGGGAGAAAATTGGGAAACCGAAAATATATTAAACTTATAAATTAGCACATAGTGCATCCGGGGGAATTCTAAACATTGCGGGCGAGATTCATTGTGAAGTCACAGCCAAAGAGTCCACGGAGAAGGGTGTAATATTTCTGACAGACAGTCCATCACTCGATCTATTGGGGCTTGATTGGATAGAAATGTTGAAGTTAACAGATCGCCCCATAAACTCAATCTGCAACGTCAGTACATCGGAAGTTGATGAGAAGAACTCAGTGGACACATTCAAAAGAGCACTACTGAAAAGGGAAGGAGAGGGGACAAGTCAGGTAATTACGAAATTCTTAACAGCTTATAGAACTACACCTAACCCTATTGTCCCAAATGGGAAGTCCCCTGCTGAAGCGATGTTCGGGAGAAGCATCCGAACCATATTCGACATGTTACCACCTAAACTAATGGATGGACGCAGACAAAATCAGAATATTCGTAGTCTTAACGTCAGTGACAAAGTTCTCGTCAAATAATACACTGGGAAAATCGTTGAGAACTGGGAGTCATTGAGAAGAGAATAGGGAGTGTTTTATACAAAGTGCGTGGGGCTTTCGGAAAGTGGATTAGACACTATCAAATACACATAGAGAAAAGGACTCTAGACAATGTAGATAATCAAGTGAGGCTTCCGCTGGATATAATTAGATACTCCAATGACAGGAACGCCAACAGATACTCATAGACGCCGGATACCCAGAAAATCCGAACGCCGCAGGAAACCAGTTATAAAACTGCAAGTAGATAGACCCGAAGAAGTTTTTTTGAAAGAGGGGAGGCGTTGGGGTGATCCAGAAATTGCTTGCAAAACACAAGCAAGTATCAAGAAACACTAAGAAGCGTTTCGCCCAATCAGCGTTCACTTGGAGTCTTGGCCAGAAATATCAAGGTAGCGAAACGTCACATGCGGAGGCTCTGATTGGCTACTAATTTTAGTAGGACTCCAGAATATTCCAGCGACCCAAGGACATTTAAAATATTATAAAAACCCTATATTTTTTGTATCAAAATGAATCTTGGAGTAAACTACTTCTCGCATACTTTGAGTCTTCTCTCTCGTGTTCAGGTCGCTGTATAGTTCTAGCGTGGGGGTTACAGAATAGCTTAGAAAACGAATATAGCGTTCATAATCCGCAAGACTTATCATTAGCACAACAAGATGAAAATACCAGATTTAAGCTAAAATATTAGTTAATCTGATCGCTAAAACTAGACCAACATTCTTAAAAACCTCTGGGATCACTCCATGTGGACCAGCTGCTCTTCGGCGTTTCAGATCAGCAATAGTTTTTTTAATTTCAATGAAAGGTTTACATAATTCCTGCCTTAGGGCTAAAACTAGGTAGTTGACAAAAGCAGAAATATCGTCAGTTCAAGCTCGGTGGATTGGCTGATTATACTCGTATCACTGCTAAAAGCCACATTGTGCGTAGTAGTAGACCATTTACAGATTCGTTTGAATACGACGCACCTAACTTGAGCTTGAACTAATCTACTGGTGAGACTGTGTTTATGATGCTTTGGAGATTGTTACGTACGGTACTTATTTCCAACAAGTAGAATCCAATTTGAGTGGTTGGTAGATAGTATGAAGATTGTAATGTCACATCTCTTTGTACCTAAACACGAATAACTCTAGCCGTCTGAGATCATAAAGCCTTATAACGATTCTGGTCGTGAGTTTCGAAATTTTCTCCGAAAGATTTACGTTTTGTTTAAAGTAGTTGCAACTTCTAAGGCAACGCGTGACATAAATTTAAAACAGCGTAAAAAAGTGAATATAACTAGCTGTTTAAATAGGAACTAAATATAAGACTTTCAGTACGTTTTCTGAGTTGATTAGAATCCTGAAAGTACAATTACTTAATATGTAATTACATTATCCAAAAATGCACCAATCAAAATGAATATTCAAATATCTTACACACGCAACAGACACAGAAACTTCCAAATTAAAAATCAAAATCCCTTTTCAGCCGCCTATGCATTATAATAATCTCTGTTGAAAATGTGTCAATTATATTAGTGAACGGATTTTTGGAACCAACTACATAAACAAATTAAAAATTAACTTAAAATGAAAATTTACTAAGGATGCTTTCAGTGCTAAAGAAATAAGAAACAACCGTTAACATGCATGTTATTTTCGAATCAGTTCATTAAAAAAACGTTTAATATTTTTTCAAAGGAAAGAATAATTACAAAAGTGTACAAACGACATCATTTTTACAAATAACGTGCAAATCCTATAATTTTTATTTCCTACGGTAAGGGTTTAAAAGAAGTTCGGAGAATTCTTGAACAGACTTGATTCCTCTCACCTCATTTTCTAATTGAGGTAATTGTATGACATGCATGTCTTCATATAGTTCTAAAATTTGTTCCAGATATTTCGATTGTATTCGATGACGTGCTAAGCACATTCGACAATTGGATGGAGGTTCATTCGAATGATCCTTAGATGAGACATCACATGATGATAATAAATTTGGAAACAACAGTTGATTTACAATGACATTGTGGACATCAATATCGTGTGCAGTGAGTTCCTATATATTTAGAAATAAAATTAGATAAAATTGTCACAAATTCTATGCAACAAAACAATAAAATGAAAGATGAAGATTTGGCAAATATCTAGATGATACGTTTGTGTGAAAAACGGAATGAAAGGATTACATTTCTAGCACATCATGATTTTTGCTCAATATTACTTCAGTTTTAAATTCAATATGAGTATTCAGTATAATATTTGTTTTGCTTTCAGTGTGATAGTTTATTCAGTACAACATTGATTTATTTCAGTGAGATGCATATTCAAGATTTGATATTCTTGAGATATGAATTAAGGCGGACTATGCTTAGCATGATGCGCAGCATGTGATTTTGTTATAATTTCATTTATGTGACATTTCCCTAATAACTAATTAAATAAGTGTACAAATCAATGAATTTCCGACTAGGGTCATCAGATTTCTTTTGCAGTCAGTCAATCTTCACTAACACTAATCTTCCAAGTTCTAACTTCGCGTCGTGAGAATAATAGTGATTCCCCGTTTTAAGTATAAGTAATAAGCGACGCGGACGCAATACAAAACAAGGAGAAGTGAATTCGGTGATTTAGTTACCTTGAAGAAGTGGCTTGGGTTAAGTCACAAAACGTCAAAAATACAATTTTTCTACTCATTGGGATATAACAAAAAAATAAATTTATTATCAACTTTCTACTTGATGCCCAATTTATTTGAAACTGTCAAGCTCAAACTTGGCGTTGATACCTATAAATGAGAAGTGAAGATTGAACATGGATAATTGAAATTATGGACAAAAAATACATCACAAGTATTTCAGACTAACAAAGAGTAGAGTGAGCAAATTACACTGTTAGGCGACTGTTAACGGGAATTCATTCTAGTGCTTGTTGTGACTTCGTACTCAATGCTATGCCTACATCTGCCAATCCATGATAATTTGCCGTTGGGTCGCCAGAAAAACGGATGGTGTATCTCGTCGGCTCTTCGTTTTGGCAAGGTGAGGTCAAGTAAATGAGCACAATAGGATCCTTATGCGTGCTTCGAAGACACAGCATACATCAATGGTACGAGATTCTAAGGTTTTAGCCAAGGAGGTCTGCTGACCGATTTGACATAGTGGGCGTACGTTGAAGGCTTCAATGTGTAGTTTGGAGCGAGGTTTCAGTAGACCTGGGACAGAGTTTTGAGCACTAGAATCGTTGGCTATGGTGACACTTGAGGAGGAAGCCGAAGGAGGAATTTTAGGGTTGAAAGTCGATGTAGGAGGAATAATAGGAATTGAAGAGGAAGATTGATTTGAATACAGTGATCTTGAGTGCTGTTGGAGGCATGAGGACAGTTATCAATTCCCGATTTCCCACACCGTGGAAAGGTTATTCTAGAGGTACCTGAAAAGGAAATCGGATTAGGGGTGATGTTAGTGACCTAAGAGCGTGACCCCAGTGCCCAAAGGACAGCTGCTTGAGGTCGGTCACACACGACATTTTTGTGAGTAATTTCCGTGCTATTGGAACCTTATCACCGGAGACAGAATTCTGTGGGATAAGGTGAAGTGTGCATTTTTAGGGTCAACCTTTTCCAACCTCACAATTCCTTGTAGGAAGGCAGCATCGCTGTTATGCTGGTTGTCTGAAGGAAACGCCAAAGCAGCACGAAAAGAACATATGAGTTGGGAGCTCTATGGGATTAGAAAAATCAAAGCATTCTAAACAAAGGAACGGATGATAATGAATATTATCTAGTGCGATACAACCACCGATAATAGCAGTGGAGAAGCACGGAATAAAACAGACAGCTTGCACGCAACTAGACGACTTGAACTTCGCAGATATTCTAGGCCCCCTATCCCATACACAGCAACAAATGAAGATGAAGACAATCAGCAAAGCAGCAGACGCTATAAGAGTAGGCTTGAACATGTCCGGTGAAAAAAGCAAGATTTTGAAAAACAACAGAGACCATCACACACTTGATGGAGAAATCCTGGAACAGGTCGGAAGTTTTACGTAACTGGGAAGCATCATCGATGAAGAAGGAGGATCTGATGCAGATGTAAAGACAAAGACTGCCAAAGCAAAGGTGGAATTTCCTCAGCCTCCATCAAAGTCAGAACGTTCAATACAAACGTCAAGACAGTTCTATTGTACGAAGTCGAAAAGTGAGTTGGGTGTGGAGTTGCCGACCCCATCTCGTAGAAAACCAACGCTAGTCAGAGAAAAATTATTCAAACCACTTAAACTCTGGCTTGGGAACCAGGTCTTCATTTAGAAGAGTTATGACGCCTCATGGTGAAGGCCGAGTTCCTTCGGAATCCACGAGGGTAATGCCCATTCTGACAACCAAAGCACGCATTTATTTAGGTACACGGACTGCTCGTACAACATGGGAGACCGGGAGAGTCTTCCAAATTGCTACAGAAATGAGAAGATACAACCTAGAGGTACTTGGGATCAGTGAAACACATTGGACACAAGTTGGACAACAACGACTAACTACAGGAGAGCTCCTGTTATACTCCGGCCATGAAGAAGAAAATGCACCACATACACAAGGAGTTGCATTGATGCTGTCCAAACAAGCACAAAATGCGCTTATAAAATTGGAATCTCATGGACCAAGGATCATCAAAGCCTCCTTCAAAACAAAGAAAGAGGGCATTTCAATGAACATCATCCAATGCTACGCGCCTACCAACGACTACAATGAAGACGCTAAAGATCAATTCTACAATAGGCTGCAGTCAATCGTCGAGAAGTGCCCAACAAAGGACCTGACCATTCTGATGGGAGATTTCAACGCCAAGGTTGGAACGGACAACACTGGATATGAAGACATCATGGGACGACACGGACTGGGAGAAAGAAACGAAAATGGTGAGAGATTTGCAAATCTATGTGCCTTCAATAAGCTGGTCATAGGTGGCACCATATTCCCACATAAACGCATACACAAAACCACATGGACTTCACTGGATTACTCTACACAAAACCAAATCGACCATATCTGCATCAACAAAAAGCTTAGGAGGACGATGGAGGATACGAAACCAAGAGAGGAGCTGATATAGCATCAGATCATCACTTGCTGGTCGCCAAGATGAAATCGAAACTCAAGAAGCACTGGACAACGGGGCGGACAACATCACAAAATTTTACTACGGCTTTTCTTCGGGATACTGAAAAACTCAACAAATTCAAGATAGTCCTCAGCAACAAGTTCCAGGCCTTTCATAATCTACTCAATGGAGAAGGAACTACTGTGGAGAGCAACTGCAGAAGGATAAAAGAGTCGATCACTTCAACATGTCATGAGGTTCTGGGCCACAGGAAGCACCACCACAAGGAATGGATCACTGTTGATACACTGGATAAGATCCAAGAAAGAAGGAACAAGAAGGCAGCAATCAATACCAGTCGAACAAGAGCAGAAAAAGCCAAGGCACAAGCTGAATACGCAGAAGTAAAAAAACAAGTGACGAGGAGCATCAGAACCGACAAACGTAAATATGTGGAAGATTTAACAACGGCGGCAGAAAAGGCTGCAAGAGAAGGAAACATGAGACAATTGTATGACACGACAAAGAAACTCGCTAGAAAGTATCGTAAACTAGAACGACCAGTGGAAAGCAAGGCAAAGTAATCACCAACATTGAAGAACAGCGAAACAGGTTAGTAGAGCAATTTAAGGGACTCTTGAATTGACCAGCCCCACTGTATTCATCCAACGTCAAAGCAGCACCCACGGATCTCCAAATAGATGTTGGCCCACCAACAGTTGACAAGATCAGCATGGTCATCGGACAAATCAAGAGCGGCAAAGCAGCAGGACCAGACAACATCCCAGCAGAGGCACTGAAAGCAGATGTAGCAGTAAACGCAAGGATACTCCACATTCTATTCAGCAAGATTTACAATGAAGAACAAGTACCAAGAGACTGGAAAGACTTCTGATCTAAATGCCAAAGGAAGATCTCAGCAAGTGTGATAACTACAGAGGCACCATTCTTCTCTTAATACCGAGAAAAGTCTTCAACAGGGTATTGTTAAGAAAATGAAAGACTCTGTAGGCGCCAAACTTTGAGATCAACAGGCTCGATTCGCAAGGATCGATCAGGTACCGACCAAACTGCAACACTACGGATCATTGTGGAACAAACAATTAAATGGAATTTACCACTCTACATCAACTTTATTGATTACGAGGAAGCATGTGATAGAGTGGACAGAACAACACTAAGGAGGTTTCTTCAACAATACGGAGTGCTTGAGAATATAATCAACACCATACGGAATTCCTATGATGGATCAAACTGTAAAATCGTGCATGGAGGACAGCTGACAGACTCGTTCGAAGTAAAGACCATTGTCAGGCAAGGTTGCTTACTCCCACCCTTTCTCTTTCTCCTGGTGATCGACTGAATCATGAAGACGACAACATCTCGGGGGAAGCATGGGATACAGTTGACGTCTAGGATGCAGCTGGACGATCTAGGCTTCGCAGATGATATGGCTCTTTTATCGCACACGCAACAACTGCAGAATACGACCAGTGTAGCAGCAGCCTCAACAGCATTAGGTTTCAACATACAGGAGGGGGAAAGCAAGATTCTCCGATACGATATAACATGCACCAATCAAATAATACTTGACGGAGAAGATTTGGAAGATGTAAAAACCTTTACATATCTGGGCAGCATCATTGATGAACACGGTGGATCTGATGCAGATGTGAAGGCGCAGACTGGCAAAGCAAGAATAGCATATTTACAACTAAAGAACATCTAGAACTCAAAACAACTGTCAACCAACACCAAAGTCAGAATTACATAATGACATTTAAATTAACATTGATTAATTGGAAGAAAGATGATTATTAATATTTAAAGTGATCAAGAAGTTGCTAAGTTGCGTAATGTAAGAAACAAAGAAGGAACAGAATTATAACGGATGGTCAATAGGATGGTAGTTACGTAAGAATCAAGAGATGAATGTTGAGAAGTTATTAAGTTCAAAAGCAACAGAAATAAAATTACAAAAGTTAAAATTAAAAAATAAAATATAAAAAAATGGAAGAAGTATGAAAAATAGTTCTTTTGAAGGAAATCTTAAACTGATGGCTAGGGCAGGGAAATTGGTTGTACGAATCTCTTTTGAATGCAAAGGTCAGGTTTGTGAAAATGGATTGCGATGGCTTCCGCAATGTGCAAGAGGCGCACTCGTAAACCATGTGGCAAATTAGATGGGATATTGTAGATAACCTTAAAAGCTTTATTCAATTCGACTTGATGACCTGTGTCAACCAAGTGAGAGAGAATAGAACTTTTAATCACTTTTACCTGTCCTTTGTTTAACCACGACGGATGATGTTCAGTAATGCGATGACGGACTTGCCGAATTGTACGCCCAATATAACTGGCTCCACAGGAGCAGTTGAAACGATAGATACACATAGATTTGGCGAATTCAGGCAGTCTGTCTTTGTTGGCTGTTCTTATCTTGGGATAGTTGTAGAAGATTGCATTTAATCTAGCAGCATTAAATGTTTTTTGTACGGCTCTTCTTAGTTTCTGAGTCAAGATTTCTTCAATGGTGTCATTTATGAATTGTAGTTTTATGAATAGTACCTTCTTATGGACGGTGGGTATCTTTGTCCTTGTTTTCTCCATCATATGTTTGTCGATGAATTTCATGGGATACCCATTCATGCTAAGTAGGTTCCGAATATTATTCAATTCTTCTTCGATGGTGTCTTCAGAGCAAATCATTCTAGCCCGATGTGTCAAGATTTTTATCAAGTTCCTTTTGTATCTGATTGGAACTGCACTATAGAAATGAGTGTATTGTCCTGCTGCAGATTTTCTGTGTACCCCTCTTTTTAAAGTTACGTCTGCTCTTCTTTTTAGTTGGACATCTAGAAATGATATGCTGTCGTTCTGTTCATCTTCTGATGTAAAATTAATTGATGGATGAACGTTATTAAATGTATTAAGTAAATTGTCCTTATCATTTTCTTTTTCTAGTACTATGAAGGTGTCGTCTATATAGCGATAATAAGTTGGTAAATGGCTAATTATGCTTTTAAGTGGTCCGTTTTCCAGTTTTGCAAGGAAAATATCAGCCAGTAGAGGGCCCAATGGTGATCCCATGGCAACTCCATCTAGAATTTTCAATACAAATGTCAAGACAGTTCTACTGTATGGCGCGGAAACCTGGAGAACTGCAAAAGCCATCATCCAGAAGATACAAGTGTTTATTTACAGTTGTCTACGCAAAATACTTCGAATCCGTTGGCCAGACACTATTAGCAACAAACTACTATGGGAGAGGACAAACCAGATAGACATGGGAAAAATGGACAAAAATTGGAGAGGACTGGAAAGGAAGGCTCAGGACAGAGTGGGTTGGAGAATGCTGGTCGGTGGCCTATGCTCCATTGGGAGTAATAGGCGTAAGTAAGTATCACGAGGAAAGCCTTAATTTAACATCCTGAAGGGAAACAGAAGAGAGGACGTTCAATCAACACATTGGGCAGGGAATCGAAAGCAGAAATCAAAAGAATGAACAACAATTGGAAACAACTGGAAGGAAGAGCCCAGGATACAGTTGGTTGGAGAATCCTGACAGGCGACTGATGGTGCCATGAAGGGTAATGGGCGTAAGTAAGTATTGAGTATAGGTTTGAAAAAATAGTGAATTCGCATACTGAAAGGAAAAATGAACACAAAATCAATCATCAAAATTAATTATTATTTGGATGCAAATTTTTATTTGAAACCATCACTCACTATCGAGACATACACAGTTTCGGATACTGAAAGTTAGAAAAATGTGTTGACAATTTTACAGAGCTTTGATTATTGGAACAAGTATGTCCGTAATCAGTATATCAAAATTGGGTATCACTCAGTTGACAAAAGTCGTGTGGAAAAGATGGTATAGATCTTATCTGTCAAGAAGCACACATATTTCGGAGTGCTACGACTTGGATGGACATCCTAGCAGCATAATACACCTCAGTTTAAATCAAATATAACATTTAGCAGCACAAGCTACTGGTTTGATTAGCTGTATTTATAAGCTGTTCACTAACGTACTAGTACTTCAATAAAAGAATGATAAATGAATGATTCAAAAGAAACAAGTCAAGAGAATCGATGCCGGTAATTTTATAATTCTATCTGGATTATAATAACCTCAGCCATACTTTGCTGATAAGTGTTTGCATTTACTGATGAGCAACTTCGTTGCTAGTAAATTATATGATAAGAAATAGCTGAATTAGAAACCAAAGTTCTAGACCAGTGAGGTGGAAATTGCTTAACACTAGATTTTAGGTCATGCTGCTACAAGATGGGAATAACGATAAACAACAATCCATTATGTTGTCGAACCAATCGTCATATATCATTCAATCACATTTCACTGAATTCCTAAAATGTAAATATAAAGTGACATTTTCGATAAAAACTAGTTGTTGGCTGTTAATCTTATTGAAACGTCCAACTACACGATTGAGATCCACGTGAAACCGAAAATTAAAGAAAAAAACTATTTGTCTAAAGAATGATTCGGTTGTTGAAGAACAAACATAATTTGGTTACCGACATCAACTTGTGTGGTATCTGCAGTGAATAACTCATCTGTATATTTGGAAAGGGAAGGGATCCCTGTTATAATAACATAAAGAGTAATTACAACATACGACAACGTAAATGACAGCTGATAATTGTGTCTAGTGTTAACAACATTTCAAAAACAACCAAAATGGGGAGACTAAGAACACTCAAATGTGAAAACTGTTGAGTTTAAAAAAGATTTAAAGTGTGAAAAAACTGGAGATAACTGTTGCAAGGGTTAGTAGAAAGTAATTATAATTGTAAATACAGTAAATATTATTAGTTTATATAAATAGTTTAGGATATTACGCAACAAATAAACTTGTGTTACATCGTACGCTTAGAAATAATTAGAAATGAAACTGTTTACTGAATATTACCAAGTAGTATAAAGCAACATACAAAAAACAGGCTAAACAAAAGAAGAGAAAGCAAACGAACATTAAAGCAGTAATAGAAGTGTTATAATTCGAAATTATGTAGCCTAAGGGTTCTAAGGTTAGCTACTATGTTTGGTATTATTTGTCGCTGGTGAAAATTTGTTCCAGTTTTTGTATTAATCACCTCGATCACGTATATGTATTGAATTCTGTTTATAGTATTGATATTTAAATAGAAGTTATTGTTTGTTAAAATTTTCGTCCTCGCTTTCACCAGTTATTGCATTATTATTATAGAGATTAATCAGAACACTAAACATGTTACGATGTGTTGATTTATTTATATCTGAATACTGAAACTTCATAGACACTGATTGTTTATAAATAAAAGGCTGTTTAAACTTCTAGATATTGACAACCCAGGGGTGCAACGGACATGAAATAGTAAGGATTTTTAGAACTTTAAAAAGAAACAGAATGCTTAACGAATAACTTACGAAGCCTTTGTCCTCAGTCAGGGAAAATAGAAAAAAATATTGATATCGGAACTGTTTTCCATGATTGTGAACAGATTACCGTAAATTGCCTAATCCATTTTAAGTTTATTTATAGGTCTTACTATATTTTAAAGATTTTAATTGCTCCCTCTCACATAAGAATGGTTTTAATTGCTTACTTAATAATTTAATGGAGCCAGAGATGTGACAATTTGAATTAACTCTTTTCTGAGTGCAAGAATTAAGTTTATGTGCTAATCAAAGAGTTTGAATTATTTCATATTTAATTACCAGACATATCAATACATGAATGTGAAAGAAAAACAATGAAACTAGTGCAGTTGTGAGAGTGTGCTTTAAGACCAACAATCCGGCCCTTCGAGAGCTTAGCTGTGAAACGTGATAGATGCGCAAGCCTTACCTTCATTTCTACCACTAAGCTACTTGTTAGTGTTATTAGAATGGCATGCTGATGTATATAGTAGTTAATTCGCAAGAACTTAGTGGCTATTTTAACTTCTACCCCTTACACTAATTTCCCTTATCATTTGTATATATATATAGCAAAAATACAAAAGTGAGTAAATTCTCCTTCTGTAATATCTAACGTGTCATTAGGCCATAGTAGTAAATCACATAATTACTTAAAAATGAAGATAAACTGTGCCGAAATAGAATATATAACTCACTTGAACTAAGCGTTCCGTTTCGTACATGCTTAAGAATTCGGGTATGCAAACACATACAAATGTAGTCTGAGTGGAATCTTTGAACTGCTTTGTTATTTCTTTAACGATAGGTAAACGTGTTTCTATTGCATTTGTTAAATCACCACCTTGTGTACTGTTCATTCCGACTAAACCCATTAATTGGTTTAAAATTGGAGCGAACTACGAATTATTGAAAACACAGGAACAAAATATTCGAAAGAATCAACTTTAATTTTAACTTGGAATAATAGTGAGTAAACGGAAACACAAGATAAAAAGAGAAATTATATGCATTTATTTTGTGATTACATGCAAAACCCGATAATATACACCCATAGCATATAGCATTTTTGAACATAGTACTACGTATTTGATACAAAAATATTACATTCATAATATGAAAATCGGCTTCAATACTCATGAATTATGAAGAATGCTTACTAAGACTGGAATGTGGTATAACCCTCGGTTTTACTTCGTCTAATGCTATAACGGATGGGTTTCCACGTTTACAGGTATAGGACGTTAATCTACCTTAAACGAGTATCTACGCTACATTCCCTCCCAGTGTCTATTCTACAGGACGTCAACACAATCATGATCATTCTCGCCCACGCATCTCAACCAAAAAAATAAATTGGAATAATTTTTTATTTCGATGGCCTTTACGAACTTACTTGAGTCGAATATGACAAGAATTCACTTGGCATTATCCACCTTTAACAACTGGTTGAGTTAGTGAAGCATCTAGACACTTATTAAAGATTTTGCACAATGCGTAACTGTGGACTCAGTTGAACTTTATAGCAATAATATATGGCTGAATGTAATGGGGAGGCAAGTTATTTGGTAAACGACGCATTTCGACTATCGTTCACGTCCAAAAGATCAAACAACACTAGGTACGGCAAATGAATAAGTTTAAGTAAATTTGTATGATTCCACCATGTATTACGTAGGACCAGTTGGTAATTACCTTTACTCATTCTTAAACATTTTAAAAACAAGTATGGAAATGCGGTTCACGAAGATGGACGGAAGATATCACAATTTACGCAAAAAAAGTATGCGAGACAAGTGTAAAATTATTTAAGCAACCGAAATAACTTTTTAATGCACGTAAAATATTTAGATTTTTCCGTGATACACAAATACTGGTCCAAGAACTTCAAGAAACTTTCCGTGTGGTTGATACAGCAGTATTATACGATGACATGCTAACTACACGAATCGCACTAATTCGGTTGGTCCCAAACTACTGCTAAGGAAAAAGAAACATAACGAGAAGCAACAAACAGATAGTAACAATTTGTTAAGCGATGCAGCGAGATTAGATGAATGCAATTTTTATTCACACTTAATATTCGTAATTTAAATAAGAGGTTTGTCATCTGTTCCACTTGATGAAGTTACACCAACCTACTACGTGATTCGATCAGCAAGAAATTCACTTCCCAGCCTAAATAATACTCCCAGAATGGTGTTTCAACAAATAGAAAGTGTTTTCAAGATATTGGACGACTAATACATTTGATTTTCTAAAACAATTTACATTTAACTCATGGTGGGCTCAACAATAAGTTGAAAGAATTAAATTTGGAATAATACATGGTTATTTACAAGTCTGTATGGGAAGTTACACTAGTCTTGGTAAATAAATTCCCCAAAGCCCTCCAGAGTGTTTTGAGTGAACCCATCTAGTAACCAATGAAAACAAGAAGTGTTTACTTTTAGCTATGGTACACATCTTAAATTACGTTAGTAAACATTTAACTAGTAGAAAATGATTTTCCAGAAAGTTGACCAGATTGGAACAATTGCTACTTACCTGATTTTTCATTGAGAGTACTTTGCTAAGGCTTTTCTCCATAGCCTCTGGAAACGCTAACAATCGTAGTGTGTGGCCAGTAGGAGCAGTATCAAAAATGACGACTGAATAATCCATATTGCGGACCAACCGAAACACCTCTGTATAAGACATATACTCATCCACTCCAGGGAAAGAAGTCATCAAGTGACCGATGGTTTTACGTATATCAGCGGAAACTGCTGCTTCTTCAGAACCAACCAGATCCTCTTCGAACTCCCCTAAGTTCACATTTGGATCAATTTCCATAGCAAAAAGATTATTAAAACCCTAAAACCAGAAAAGAGTACATCCTGAAAAGTTAGAATTGATGATAAGTATTCCTGAAGTTTAAAAAGGCTTTTGCCAACTTACGTCACCTTTGGCGAAGGCGAGATATCCATCTATCAATGAAAGGACGAGTATACTGCGCGGCAGTTCATTCTGTTTTACTTTGCGGCAGCGAAACATGGCCTTTAAGAGTAGAAGACACCCGTAAGCTACTAGTATTTGACCACAGATGCCTTAGAAATATTGCTGGCATCTGCTGGGATCACCGGGTAAGTAATAGTGAGGTTAGACGCAGGGTATTAGGTAATGATGGTAAATCAGTTGATGAGGTTATGAATCTTCATCGACTGAGATGGTTGGGCCACGTGTTACGCATGCCCGAACACCGATTACCACGATGTGCAATGCTAACCGGTGTAGGGGATGGTTGGAAGAAAGTTATGGGCGGCCAAACCAAAACGTGGCATCAGTGCCTGAAGTCACTAACTTCTAGTCTGAGCCATGTTGGTAGATGCAGACTACTTGGTTGGGGTCCACGCGACTTTCGTAACCGATGGTTGGAGATTCTTGGTGACATGGCTCAGAATCGATCACAATGGCGTCGGTGTATACACTCCCTGTCTTCCCTTAAACTAAGAGATTAAAATCACTTCAGATCTTTCTTTCTACTAACTAATTCTTTCTTCCTGTACTGTATCCTTATGTGCAATCTTTCTCCTATTTATTAGCACCTTTGACCTAACCACTCCTATGAATCCGGTGTCCATCTTTCTGTGCTAATGCGGTATGGCAACCTGGACCGATGCATATATGTGCCTGGTCCTACGTTGTAGCTGACTGACTGAAAAAGGAAAACATGAGAAACATCCTCTCAAATTTGAACGTCATTTAGTTATATCTGTATTTAAGTAACTAATTTGTCGAGCAGAAATTTTTCCATTTATCTTCAGGTCAAAATACTTGTGCATTGGCTATAAATACTATCTAGCTGTCTAAATCAAGATAGGAGGAATAAGACTCGAACTCGCGATCTATTATTTAGAACAGCGATCTCCTAATTACCAGGCCATCACTCATTTTGACGATGGATTCAGTTACGGATTGATATTAGTTCAAAAATGATTCCACACGAGACCATTCTACAGTTATTACTTTTTGGAAGTCCCCATCTATGGCATCTAGTATTTAATACTTCACTAGATGATATCAGTTCCTGTCAAAACTTTTCTGAAACCTGGATAATAATGATAATAGTAGTAACTTTATTCAATATTGCATGTTCAGTACCAAATAAGATTCTCAACAAACCCTCAAAATCACCTAATTACTCATTAGCGATTAGCTTCAGATATTTTCTGAAGTTTCACTGATAATCCGTGACCTCAGTATCAACCATCTAGGCAGTAAGGAAATTATCCCCTCACCACATTAGATAATGATCCCACTGGAACATAAAAACCGTTGGATACTGACATAGTTACTGAGTGCGTCTGTCGAGAAACCTGGAGGCCCTACACTTAATATAGTCTGGTAGTTTGTGTGCACTAACGATAAAGTAACAGCTAAAGCGTGCTTCTAGTTTGAATGATTATCCAGTTGATGTCAGTCCATAATGAATATTACCTTTGGTCTCAGTCAGTCAGTCAGAAAAAACGTAGAACTTCGTACGTACGTACGTACATCAGTTCGAGTTGCCATACCACATTAGCACAGAGATGCATTGGTCGATTCAAATCCCGTAGTGGTAGAGGTAGTAACAGTATAAACAGTAATTGGAAAGATCAGGGTTTGAAGATGTTAGTCAAGGAGTATATTACACTGAAATAAATTTGGAAAGAAGAAAAAAAGGACATGAAGAATTCAGAAGATTAGAATTTGGGAGAACACAAAGAGTAGATGCATCTGCGCCATTGCAAACGATTTTGAGCCATGTCATTCAGGATCTCTAACCATCGGTTGCTATCATCTCGACGTCCCCAACCAGGTAGTATACACCTACCAACATGACTCAGTCCACTTGTCAGTGACTTCATGGATTTGTGCCATGTTTTGGTCTGGCCGTCCCTAGCTTTCTTCCAACCTACTCCTATACCATTGAACATCGCACGTCGAGGTAGTCGGTCGTTGGGCATACGTAACACGTGTCCCAGCCATCTCAACTGATGAAGTTTCACTACTTCATCAATTGATTTGCCATCCTTACCTAGTACCCGATCCCTAACAACTGTGTTACTTACTCGATGGTCCCATGATATACGAGCAATGTTTCGAAGACACCTATGATCGAATACTAGTAACCTACGAATATCCTCTACTCTTACCGGCCATGTTTCACTGCCATAAAGAAGGACGGGACGAACTGCTGCGCAGTAAAAACGTCCTTTGATTGATAGACGGATATCTCGCCTACACCATAAATGACGCATGTTGGCAAAAGCTAGTCGAGCCTTCTGTATCCGTGCTGAGATTTCGTCACACACCAGACCACAAGGGCTGATGAGACTTCCAAGATAAGTGAAGCGGTCGACACACTCAACTACTTCACTCCCTATCACTAGTTCGTGTGTCGATGTAACCCAATACTGAAGCAACATTTTGCATTTCGAGGGAGAGAATCGCATCCCGAACATGCTTGCATTGTTGTTGAGAGTGGTCAGAAGACTCTGCATTTTGTCAGCGTCTTCACCAAATAAAACTATGTCATCTGCATATTCTAAGTCAACAAGTGAACCTCCCGGTAGAAGTTCAACCCTTGGAAATTTAGATGAGGAGAGTGTTATCTCTAAAAGTACGTCGACCACAAAGTTGAACAAGAATGGGGAGAGTGGACAGCCCTGACGAACACCACTTGAGGTAATCAATTCTGATGACAGTTCGCCATAAGCTCTCAACTCTACCAGTTGTGTTCGAGTAGAGAGCCTTTATAAGGTTAATGTACTTCTTTGGTACTCCTTTCAGTGACAAACACTGCCATAGAACCTCACGATCAACAGAGTCGAATGCCACCTTAAGGTCGAGAATACTACCATTGTGGGGCGTCTGAATGTGTGTCTGTGTTCTAGAACCTGACGTAGTGTGAATATCTGGTCTATACAACCACGTCCAGGTCGAAAACCGGCCTGGTTTTCTCTAGTCTGTTCTTCACGAGCTTTAGTTAGGCGTCAAAGTATTATTGAGGCTAATATTTTAGATACTATATTTGTCAAACTGATTCCTCTGTGATTGTCACAAGAGGACTTTTGTCCTTTCTTATAGACTGGAATAATCAGTGATTGAGACCAGTCAGATGGGATTACGTCCAGTTCCCAAATTCTACCTAAGACCTCGGTTAATCTCATTGCTAATAATAAATCGTTAAGTCGGTAACGTTTGAAGTAAATTTATTACCCATGACCAAATCAATAATTAAGTTTGTAAACTACAAAACTTGAAATATAACGTGTTTTGACTTAATTAGTCACCAGGTGGTAAGCATGACTTCTCAGTAGTTGTTAGTCCAGATCAAAGTTGATATAACACTGAGAAATAACAAAACATTCGTGTTGTGTTACTAAGTGCGGACCCCAACCAAGTAGTCTGCATCTACCAACATGGCTCAGACTAGAGGTTAGTGTCTTCAAGCACTGATGCCACGTTTTGGTTTGGCCGCCCCTAATTCTCTTCCAACCATCTCTAACACCCGTTAGCATTGCACGACGTGGTAATCGGTGTTCAGGCATACGTAACACGTGGCCCAACCATCTCAGTCGATGAAGATTAACAAACCTCATCAACTGATTTACCATCATTACCTAATACCCTGCGTCTAACCTTACTATTACTTACCCGGTGATCCCAACAGACGCTAGCAATATTTCCAAGACATATATGATTAAATACTAGTAGCCTACGAGTATCTTCCACTCTCAATGATCACGTGTCGTAGCCATAAATTAGAACGGAATGAACTGCCACGCAGTTTACTTGTCGTTTTATTGGTCGGCGGATATCTCGCCTTCACCAGATGGTTTGGGACCTTATCACAAATGACTCAAAGTAGAAGTTAAGGTTCTTCATGAACAGAAACATATACCTCCAAATTAAACAAATTTCGCCTTGGTTCTTATTCAGAACCTAACCTTCGATAGTTTTGATGTTTATTTTGATTATATAATTTCCACTCCTATATATTTACAATCTTATCACTTCGTTTTGTATAATAAACACCATCAAGTCCGACGTGTGATAAACAAAATAACGGTAAAATTAAATGGCCAGGAAATGGAATGAATGCCAGCGCCAACTGACCAAGTTATCACATAATACCAACTTCGTATACATTATCCGGTCTCATAGAAAACCAGTAGTAGCCCTAATCCTTTAACGGTATCGTCATGGACTGAGGCATTAAAAGACAATCGAACTTAAGGAAGAATTCTTCTGCAGAATTGTATGTGTTTTCTTTAGATTAGCTCGAGCAAGACCGAAATTCGGGTTCTAGACTTCTTTTCGATTGTTTTCTAACAACGAAAAACAAAATTTCTCAAAAGTAGTACATTCTTTAGTTGTCAATGGGGACAGCCTATTAAGTAATCAAACCGAAACCGTGAGGAGAAAAAATGATCTGGAATGTCTGTATAAACAGGAAGCAATCTGCAACTCTCATTTTTAGGTCTGCTACATCTGATGAAATAAGTAACAAGTATTGCAGTGATTGTTTGCATAATGAACCACATCTCTACGTCTAAAAATGAAAAAGTAAGGAAACTTGGTTTTCTGAGTTACTGGGGAAAGTGTTTTACCGAATTGTGTGAACGAACTATGTTAGTGATAATATCTAAAAATTCGGCTCTACAAGATTTGACTAGAAAACAATTAAGTCAGTGACAGGCTAAAAGTGACATACATCCATTGCCAAGTTGGATTGAAAATTTATTTATTTATTCATTTAAACACACAAGCATTGGCACAAAAGAGGCACCAAATAGATATGCGACACATAGATCATTCAATTTGTGTGAGGTAAGGTATACTGCATGGGTGCCCAAGCCGAAGCAGGTGGTTTTCTTATGGGCCTATACCCATAGCCTTTGACCTAAAGGTCTAATCCACAAGGTGGTGGAGCAACGTGCCCCCAAAAACGGCCGAAAGTGGGGAGTCAGCTCTTCCTATCGAAATGCTCTCAAATAGCGACGTGCATACAACCACTGTCAGTTAAGTCCTACTCACTGCCTTCTCCCAGAGGGGGTGTTGTTTACGAAATTAAAAAGATGAAAAGTGAATGTCCAAAGCTTTAACTGAGTTGGTGGACACGGAGAGTCTACCTGGAGGAGTTGGAAAACCTTGGTTCCAAACCAATGGTACATATAGTCTACAGAATTCTGAGGGGACGAAAGGTGTATGAACCCATTGTTGGTCACCAGCTGCCATGTGACTGCATCCCGTAACGTTGCTCCACTACCTTGTAGATTAGACATTTAGATTAAAGGCTCAGGGTGCGACCCCCAAGAAAACCACCTACTTCGGTTTGGGCACCCGAGTAGTAGCCCAGCCATCATACAAATCAATGATAACTACTACTGGCCTCATTTTCACTGTGACGCATATATATTTGGTGCTCACTTGTACTAATGTTTATGTTCAAATAAATAAATAGTAAAAACGTTTTGGTTGGCCGGTCTAAATAGTGGTTGATGCCTACCGATGTGCCTAAGTGTGCCTACATGTACATGTTATATGCAAAGGAAGATAATTACATCATTGGAGAAGTTATGATGCTTTTAGTCCTGTTTAACAATGATCTAGGGGTAATAGTGAGCCCGACCTCACTGCCTAGCGGTTGGAACCCTAGTTGAATTAAGATAGACACATACCAAATCGGATACGAAAGTGTTTGTTACAGTATATACAATTTTAGCACGTTCCAGACTTGAAAACTGGGTCCAGACTGCAATTCCATGCTTTAAAGATGAATAAATACCTCAGAAAAATCATAAAGGACAGCTGTACGAACAATTCCAGAATTCCGAGGCTTACACAAGGTGCCTTGAGTAGTTAGACCACATTACTGAGTCTTATCATAAAGATGTGATCTAATTTTGATGTATAGATTACTAAATGATTTCGAAACTGAAATATCCTCCCTCCTGCTTCCTAAAAAATCAGCACAACTCAGAGGAGGGGAGTTCAGAAGTCAAGAACCGACAAAATATCGGCGGGAAAAAAATTTTCCCAGCGAGCCAACGACTTTCAGGACCTACCAACGTAAGAAGCGATTTCTACACTTTCAATCGACCCATCCAAGAGAAGATATGAGGTTCATAGAGGCTTGGAGGAGACTACAACTTATGAACTAACCAATCAGATATAGGATGGTAGGTCTTGGATTTTGGTGAGAAATTCATTTGTCCATTTGGCTAAATAGCGTCTTGGTATCATTGCCTATGTTGGTTCGTGATGAAAACCCTAAATCTAATCCTTAACCACTAACCATAAATCATAATTCTAACTTCTCACATTGCTCAATAACCGCCATTTAGTTTTGTTAGTAGGCAGACATTCTCAGGGTCACTTTACTGTGACTCAAAGGTCGTCCATAAGCTATAGTCTCACCGAGGCTTGCTAAAAAAGGACTAACACAGGCCATTGTTCTCATGTCTTTAGCACATACATCGGAATCTCAAACCTGAAAAGTATTCCTCTGTATAGAAAATACCAATAAACTGAACCCCAGGTATATAAACAACTGTTTCCTAGCACTCCGATAAAATATTCTAAGCAGGTAGACACTAGAAAAAGCTGATTTGATCCGAGCACTTTAAATTTGAAGTACTAAAACGCCTATATTGCTAAAACAAACGGAAATAAACTAATAGAAAATGCTGCGCCGATGAAAAATCAAAAGCAAGCTTCGTACTTACCCTAACTTTAGTAGGATTTTTCGAAAACTTTTGGTCAAACGCATCCGATAGGTTATGAGCAGGATCCGTGCTCAAAATGAGAACACGCTCACGCACTTTGGCCATTTGAACAGCAATGCTGCAACTGCATGTCGTTTTTCCAACTCCACCTTTACCTCCGACAAAGATCCAACGCAAAGTATTTGAGTCCAAAATATTCTGAATAGTAGGTTCAGGTGTGTTCATTTTTACAGCTAAAGTAAGAATCACAAATACAAACCAAATAGGAGACAAAATTCAACAAATATCCATTTTACATATTCTATATATATTTTCCGTACCCTAGACCAAAGTAATACCGCAGACAACTTGAGAAACAGAAACTTTCTCATTGTTTGTCGCTCTGAGTCGAGAATATAATAGAATTTACGCCAATCTATATTACGCGCTAGTTTCAAAATGGGCAGTGATTTTTGTACTTGTTGTGATTATACTTGCTTTTGGTACTTATTGCACTAAAAAGCATTCTTGGTCTACTTTAACTAAGAGTTCTTTGGTTAAAGTTTGAAATTTTTTACTAAATTTTGTCCTGAGTACCTGTTTTTAGTCCTTAACTAACACTTGTGTTCACATTGTTCACATTTTTTGTTTTTAAACCTTTTAAATCGAATTACAATGGTTGGTAAGACTCACAAATGTGGGCAACCAAATTGTTTGTTCTCCGTTGAGGGAATGCAGTGTGACGACTGTAAAAAGTGGTATCACAAAATGTGTACACGACTAAGTCCGACGGCTTACAAAAGATGCTCGAAGCCTAACTCGCATTGGCTTTGTATGTTCTGCTGTACGGATAAAAAGGTATTAATACAGGAGGCTATGGGCCTATTGGCTTTGGCCTGCAAGAAAAACGATGGCGGAAGCACTGATAACAGGAGCACTGACGATGAAGAATGTGTCAGTGTAGTAAGTGCTGCTACTGGACCCAGTAAACACCTGACTGCGGTTGACAGGAACGTGAAATCTCCGTTGACATTAACGAGAAATGAAGTGTCGCTTGAAAATGACATCGGCAGTCATACACTTCTAGTCGAAATAGAAGATACGGATAAAACTGTCACCGTTCCACATAGTCCAGGTGTGGCTGTTCTGAGTGGTGACGAATGGACTTCGGTAAGAAAAAAAAATAAGAAGAATAAGGCTGTAGGCAAAACGCAGCTGGTCAGCAAAACATTGGAAGGGATGTTATCACAAGAAAAATCCTCACCGCGTGAAAAGACAGATCTCTCTGATAGATCAGTCATTTTTCATAAGATAAGAGAATCTTCAGATACTGAACCAAAGGCAAGATTTGAACATGATCTCAATCATATTAAGACATCGTTAAGTAAACTACTCCCAGATACAGTTTCAGGAGTTAGTATTTGTAAGCTTTATAGAATAGGAAAAAAGGTGGATTCCGAAAGTCCTCAGAAAAACCGCCTCCTAAAGGTTACATTCAACACGGTGGAAGAAAGGAACCTGATTCTAAGTAATTCACGTAAACTGATTGGATCCGGAATATATGTCCGTGAGGACCTCAGCCTAGCTGATCGTATTAAGAGAAGAGCTGCAGAAGCGGAAATAAACGAGCGTCGCCGAAATGGTGAAAGAAACCTCGTTCTCAAGGGTTTTCAGATTGTAAAGGTTCGGAGCAAAACGATCCCCAAGCCACTCTGGGTGGCAAGGGAAAGCTCTCCACAGACTTAAAAGTGTGCTACACAAATGCTCGCAGCCTACTAAATAAAATGGCGGAGCTGAAGTCAGTGGTGGACAAAGAAAAACCGGACGTTATCGCTGTCTCGGAAACTTGGTTAACGTCAGAAGTATTAGATAGTGAAATCCAATTGACTGGTTTCATAACCAGTAGGGCTGATAGATTAAACCGAAGGGGAGGCGGGGTTATTCTGTACACCAAAAGTACCCTAACCATAAGATTAGCTGAGACAGTAGCACATGTTTCAGGGACATGTGAACTAGTGAGATGTAAGTTGAAATGCCGAAGGCAAGATATTGAAGTAATTGTAGTTTATCGCAGTCCAGAATGTGTAGCAGATGATTTTCTCCTTAGTAAACTTAAGTCCTGGTGTAACAACGGTAAAAGCCTTGTAGTAGGCGACCTTAATGCACCATATATAAACTGGGTTAACTTAGAAGTAGGGTCATCCATATCGTCGTTCGACTCCAAACTGTTAGAAACCTCGATTGGACTAGCATTATTCCAACACATTAGAGATCCCACAAGATACGACTTAAGAAACTCTTCTCTTTTAGATTTAGTCTTCACACACGGTGATGACGTTGGTCAAACGGCTTTTCTCCCACCACTTGGGAGAAGTGACCATGCAGTCATCTTATTCAAATTCATGGCTGAGTTTGCTTGTCAAACAATTGCCCCGGCCCGTCCTAACATATGGAAGGCAGATATGCAGGCAATTAACTCCGCGGCATCGGCTGAGAACTGGGAAATTGACTCAAAGGCATCAGTACAAGAGGCATGGACTCTATTCAGGCAGTTATACAATCGGGTAACTCAACCATACATACCCTGGACTGTCCCAAAGAAAAAGAAGCACGGACATCCGTGGATAGGGCGGGATATTCGACGCTTACTAAGACAAAAGAAGAAATGCTGGGATGTTGCCATCCGCCTTGGCACAGCGGGTACGATGGAACGCTACAGATAGATAAGAAACGTGTGTATAACTGAAATTCGTGAAGCCCGAAGAAAATATGAAATGCAGCTGGCAGAATCTGCACTCAAGCAGCCCAAGAGAATATTCTCACACATAAACTACGGAACAAGGATGCATCATTGGATTCCCAACCTAATTAAAGAAGGGAGTGAATCTGAAATGATAGAGGAAGATCAGGAAAAAGCTGAGGTTATGGCTGACTACTTTGGGGCAGTTTTCACTCAGGAACCTCCTCTAGAGAAAGAACCAGACCCAATTACAGAGTCAACAAACCAGCTGCTCACCGTGGACTTCGACCAAAACGATGTGCTTAAGACTCTTAGCACCCTAAACATGGAGAAGTCAACAGGACCAGATGAACTACACCCTAAAATCTTGAGATATATTGCCCAATATATCGCAGCCCCACTGACTGTGATATCCAAAATGTCACTTGACCAAGGTGTGTTACCTATGGACTGGAAGGACGCAATCGTCACTCCCATACATAAAACAGGTCTACGACAAGTTCCATCAAATTACAGACCCGTAAGCCTCACCAGTGTTGTAATTAAAATACTGGAAAGAATAATCAAACGGACCATAACAGCATTTATGGAAACCAATAACTTGCTGAACATGGCACAACATGGTTTTAGAAAGGGTCTATCCTGTACAACGAACCTCCTTATAGCTAGGGAGCTCTGGATTAATGCGCTAGACAACGGAAACTCAGTGGATGTTGTCAACATAGATTTGAGTAAGGCTTTTGACAAGGTGCCAACTAATAGGCTGCTAGTGAAGTTGGCAAACCTTGGTATTGCCGGACCTCTTTTAAAATGGATTAAGGATTTCCTAGTAGGTCGTAGGCAAAGAGTAAGAATAAATTCCAAGTGCTCCATCTGGAGACCAGTACTTAGTGGAGTACCCCAAGGTTCCGTCTTAGGTCCTTTACTTTTTATAATGAACGTTAATGATCTTACAAGTATAGTACAGTCTCCAATGTTATTATACGCTGACGATGTAAAAATTTGGCGAGTAATAACTGGAGACAAAGACGCATTTACTCTTCAGGAGGACTTAAATAATATGATAAACTGGTCTAAAGAGTGGCTAATGCCTATCAACTCGGAAAAGTGTGTCTACATGCACTTGGGGGATTCAAAGGTTAATACGTACAACATAGGGGATGTATCATTACCCGTAGTCCGGTCTCATAAGGACCTAGGGGTGACAGTGAGCAATGATCTTAAGACGACGGCCCATTGCCGGGAGGTCGCAGTTAAGGGGTTTCGAACCCTCTGGGCTTTAAAAAGGACATTCACTAAGCTTGATACTACCATGTTCACCACATTATACACATCCTTAGTGAGAACTAAGTTAGAGAACTGTGTTCAGGATGCAAGTCCCTGTTTAAAAGGTGACTCAGACATAGTAGAAAAGGTACAGAGGGCAGCTACGCGTGCAATTCCGGAACTCCGGGGTTTATCATATAAAGAGCGGCTTGAAAAACTGAACCTGTTTACTCTGTCCTATCGCAGACTAAGGGGAGATCTAATATTGATGTACAGAATACTGAGAAATGATTTCGGACCTAACTTATTCTCTCACTTTCTTCCCACTAGATCGGGACACCTCAGAGGACATAGCAGGCGAGTAGAAAAGCCAAGAACGAACAAAATACCCGTGGCATACAGGTTTTCACACCGAGTCATCAATACTTGGAACCTGCTGCCTGAAGCAGTGGTGTCAGCACCTTCAATTGACTCTTTCAAGAGAAGACTGGACACTCACAGAAGCATACTAGAAAAGGAATAACATAGGCCGTAGGCCTTCTCTCCTTACTACACAAATCTGAATCTGAAATCAAACTGTCTACTTTTTGGCTTGGTTTCCGCCATAGCTATATAGCTGACTTTCAAGTTATGACTTGGGAAGACGAGAACCAAATAGGAATTCTAGAAATTTTTCCATCTATAATTTGGTTTCACGTTAATTACAAATGCACTAGGCACAAATGTATAATCACCACCATACTTCAACACAGAAAATGCCAGGTAGTGTAACACGTGTAATCAGCAATCACTGAAAGGCAGGAAGACCATAAACCACAACACAAACAATGTTAACTAAGCAGTTCACACCACAGAGAGAGGACACGGAGTGAAAATTCGCGGGTTATGTACAGAAGGGAGAGCTAGTCTACAAAACAGTCTTATCAGTCATCCTGAAGGTTCAGTGCATGCAGAGCTTGCTCTTCTTCTACCAAAGCATTTATTCTTGGTTGCCCTGCAATAGAAAGGAAAACAGAATCTATTAACAACAACACACATGATTCTAACCCTGTTACAGCAAATACTTTTAAACTAACCTCTTTTTAGGTCAGGAGCACAAAAATTCAAGTGGTCAATCTTCAGTAATGAGGATAGTAGGTTGGTGAACCTGTGTTAATCCTGACAGATTGCCTTTCAGTGAAGGTCCCGTTTCTTTTTGAAAATATTCATTGATGGGGCCGATACCACTTGTTCGGGTAAGGCGTTCCAATCAATGACTACACGATGAGAAAAACGGAACCCCATTTTAAATTTATTAGATCGCGGTTTATGAACCTTCTTGCCATGACCTCGGAGATTATTAGTACTGGAGGTGGCAAAAAGGTAAGACATATTAACACCCAAATCATAATTAAAGATACGAAATGCCAGTATAAGGTCACCTCGTGTCCTACGATACGACAAGGGGAAAAGATTTAGGCGTTTTAAACGCTCATCGTAAGGAAGTCTAGAAAGACCCTCCACTAATTTCGTTCCCACACGCTGAACACGCTCAAGGGAGTTAGTATCCTTTACCAGACGTGGGCTAGCTGCTTGGATACAGTACTCTAAATGTGGTCTTACATATGTAGGATATAAAATTCGAAACATTTCCTCGTCAAAAGATTTGAGCGCTCGGGGAAGTGACCATAACGCACGAAAAGCTTAGACAGCGGCTGCGTTGCAATGCGTGGTTGTTTTTAAGTCATGACTTATTATTACTTTTAAGTCTTTATGCTCTTGAACGCATGGAAGAGGCTTGCCATCAATAGTATAATGGCAACTATTACCGAGACCGATGTGCATTAGCACACTCTTCCTAGCGCTGATTTCTAAGCCCCAACCTCGAGCCCATCTTACTAAACCGTCTAAGTCAGCTTGAAGATCCGGCTGATCAGCCTCACGTTTTGTTGTTCTCCAGATTTTTACGTCATCCGTAAACAATAATGTCGACGACCTATGCAGCAGCGGTAACTCAATAACGTAGAGAAGGAAGAGCAGAGGGCCTCAGATGGTGCCTTGGGGTACACCACTTTTGACCGGCTTCCAGTCGGGTGGCGTCCCATTGACCCTAACTCTCTGTCTGCGGTCACATAAGAAAATGCCTATCCACTCCTGTACAGTACCTATTATTCCAAAGCTCGTGAGCTCCTGCATAAGACCTAAGTGTGAAACCTTGCCAAATGCTTTGTTAAAATCTATGAATATCACATCCACAGACAGACCTTTATCTAAGGCTGATGTCCAATCCTCTCTCGCAATAAGTAAGTTAGTCAAGCATGAACGCTTGTTACGAAATCCATTTTGCTCAGGAGCTAACAGACTGTGTGAATCTATGTGGCTTAGCAACCTAACCCGAATTATCTTTTCAAGCAACTTAACGACAATGCTAGTTAGACCGACAGGCCGGTAGTTAGATACTATCTGTCGTTTGCCATCCTTAAATATAGGACTGACTATAGCGTCCTTTCAATCTCTATGGAGTTGAGCTAGTGAAAGGGATATGTTGAAGAGTGTCGCGAGCGGTTTTGAAATAATGTCCGCAAGAGATGACAGCAATCGTGGATGGAACCCGTCAGGGCTCGGTATCTTACCAGGTTTGAGGTTAGTTATCAACGGAAGGACAGTTTCCCCAGTCACCTGTACAGATTCAATGGTTGGTATCTCAGTGTGAGTGGGACAAGGTATTTGGTACAATAAACGTAGAGAAGACTTCGCTAAAATAGTCTGAAAAAGTCTCAGCTTTTGCCCGATCTGATTCAGCTAGTAAATCTGAATTTTCGTGTAACAGTAACGGGGGAATACCATCACTACGTTTCATTCGCCGTTTAACATACGAAAACAATCGTTTCGGACAAGTACGGCTATCATATACGAACTGTCGTTCGTAAGTAGTACGGGATTCAGCTATGGTTTTCTTACAAGCATCCTGGAATTTTTGGTACTCACCCTCAAATGATCCATGAGCAGTCAACAAGAATAAGTCCTAGAAGTGTTTCCTACGCTTTAACAGCTCCCGGGTTTCCTTATCAATCCATGAAGGGCAATGTGATAGCTTACGTATTGACCATGGGATAAACGGTGATGTTACGGACTCGAGTGTAGCCTTCACTCAGTCAGTAGCCTTAAACTTACTCCATTCGTCTTCGATCGATCAGTCCGCATCGAACGATCGAGATAGCACAGTCTCTGATTGCAGGAATATTAGCTCGCCAGATATTTGGACGGGATGGATCAGATACAAATTTTATACCACGTGTCCGGAACTCAAAGTAAAACGTGATCACTGTTTTGTAGTGGGGCAAGGTGCCGAATGCCGATGAAATCCTCACAGTGGTTTGTGAGGACAAGGTCCAACAGCGACGGGTCATGTTCCAAGTCAATATGTGTCGGTTTTGTGATACATTGTACAAGTGCACGCCGAATAACGGTTGATTAAAGGTCGCTATCGAAACCTCCACCTGGAGCTGTAAGCTCTATCCAGTTGATATGCGGTGCGTTGAAGTCGCCAATGATGAGAAAAAATTCTGCCATACTCCAAGAACTGATGTGTCTTAAGATAAAGTCGTCAGCAAGACAACACGGACAACGGTATATTCCCCCTATAGTCACTAACACATTTCTAGATTTAATCTTACAACATGCAACCTCACATGTGCCACTGATATGAGCCTCCGATATGGTTGATTGTATACGAAAGTGACCCCTAACGTATAGCATTACACCTCCCTCCTTGCGACTTAAAACTGTACCACTGCTTATACAAATATAGCCTGCAGTGATGGGAGAACATTTTCTATCTGCGGTGAACCAAGTTTCTGTAACGACAATTATATCGGAGCTTAATTCATCCACCATCAGACTTAGCTCGGACGTTTTGTTTCTAAGACTGCGGGTGTTCGTGTAGCACACACTTAAGGTGTTTTAATAATCATTCGTTCTATTATCCCTGCATGCATCAAAAAGCTTAGATAAGATTGTTAAGCATAGAGTGAAGAGTTTCAATGTTCTTAGTTTAACGGAACGTCTGGGCTTCCACGAATGTTATACTCGGTAGGCTAAACAAGTGATCCCACTAAAATGGTATACGTTGCATTGACTTGGAATCACTCGAGATCATGAGAAAATCTTAGCAAGTTGCAATAGGGAACACGACGTAGAGAGATGCAGTATCCACCTTCATGTATCATTTGCATGCAATAAAAAGCGACGAGTTATAAAACATAATGTTGCGGAAGAAAGTTAAGACAGACACATCGGTATTTAATATAATGTTACTTACTCTTCGTGGCACCTGCAGTCACCTGTCAGGATTCTCCAACCAACTGTATCCTTGGCCCTTCCTTCCAGTTGTTTCCAATTGTTGCTCATTCTCTTGATGTTTGCTTCCGATTCCCTGCCCAATGTGTTCCTTGATCTTCCTCTTTTCTGTTTTCCTTCGGGATGTTAAGTTGGGGCTTTCCTCGTGATAGAGTTTGATTATTCGCGAATCGTATGTTCTGTCCACCTTCCAAGTCTTTTCCTATTTTACTTTTCGTCTGGGAGCTGGTTTGTCCGCTAGAATAGTAGGTTGTTACTAATAGTATCCAGCCAACGGACCTGGAGTATCTTGTGCAGGCAATTAGTTATAAATACCCATACATTTTTGATGACTGTGGTAGTTCTTCACTTTTTGGACCCGTACAACAGAACTGTTTCGAAATGACAGAATTCGGCTAAGAAATATAGTGTAGCGTAACGGAGCATCTGACATGGAAACTCACAATTAGTGCAAGTTTGAGAGTTGAATTGTAGATTTTACTGAAAACGATTTTTAAAACTCCATTTTTAAATTACTGAATGAACGAAAAATTACTGTGTGAAAATCTTTTCACATGATAGTAAGTGACGTACCTCCTACTCGGGCTGTCTACCGAATATCCTCAAGGTTGACAATTAATAATATAAAGCTACGGATCTACAGCACCGAACCGTTGAATACGGCGATTGGTTGATCAGCTAAAGTTTGCGCCTCACTTTCTATTTATTCCAACAAATCATTTATGTAAATCATTTGACCACTACATTACCTTACTCCGTGGTCACTAACTATCACGTGAACTGATTTCGTTGAAAGGTGGTCAAAACATTCCTGTTAAATGCGAGTAGGCTAAGTACCTAAAAGTTCAGGCTTTTAAAATGAAGTCTAACTGGAACAAATTTGTCTAGGTGTGAATGTTGTCAAGTAGCCTTCTCCAGATAATATGCAAATGAACAATCGAAAAGATTTAAAACGTTCCAAATTCTTTTGGAAAAGAAAGCATGTTTGTACATTGTACAGACTTTGAAGGTTTTGAAATCTTCTAAGTGGTTTTTCCCAAAAATTCTTCAATCAAAGTTAACGGTGTTCATTAGAAAAAAACAGCATATTTTGATAAAGTTTTCATTAGTTTGACACCGCATCTTAACACTCAACTTCATGCAATTAATTCGTTAGGTTTCAAACCGTAGACGTCTTGTATTTCGTTAGCGTTCATATATTTCCTCGTGACAAACATGGCACTGAATCGTGACTCCGAAAATTTATAACCTATTAATTTGAGTTCAAACAGTGGAACAAT